ATTGTTGAGATATTGGATGGGTTTGGATTCCTAAGATCATTTTCCAAACAACTTCATTCTCCATCTGTCTTAATGGGGAGAGCTGTGGCTATTTCAAGGGAAGCAGAGGACTGAGACAGGGGGACCCCATGTCTCCATTGTTGTTTTTCCTGGTGATGGAGTATCTCACCAGATTCCTGAAGGAAGCGTCAAAAGATTCAAGGTTTCAATTCAATCCACAGTGTAAATGTATCAAGTTAACTAATGTGTGCTTTGCAAATGATCTAATGATCTTCTGTAAAGCTGATCTTTATACTGTGTAGAAGATTGTAGATATACTCAATGAGTTTGCAGATGTTATTGGACTGGTGGCGAATCCTGCTAAATCAGAAATCTTGTTGGAGGAGTATCGGAGAATCTGAAGGAACAAATCTGTATGGTTACTGGTTTTAAAGCAGGAAAACTACCAATGAAGTACCTGGGAGTTCCCATCTCTCTCAAGAAATGGACTCAACTTGAGTGTGAGATGCTGATTCAGAAGATTGCAGGAAAAATCAAGTGTTGGAGCTCAAAATTACTCAGCTATTCAGGTAGATTACAGTTAGTAAAATCTGGCTTAATGGCTATGAGCACGTATTGGGCTTCAGTATTTGTATTGCCACACAGCGTTACTATGCAAATCAATACATTGTGTAGGGGTTTCTTATGGGGTGTTAAAGAGAGTGGTTGGTCCCTGGCTTTAGTCAGTTGGGATCAAATATGTTGAGGGGAAGAATAAGGGGGGACTGAACATTAGAGATGCTGAAAAGTGGAATGAGGCAGCATTGATAAAGCAGATATGGAATATAGCAGCCAAGGAGGATAACTTATGGATCAAATGGATCCATGAGCAATATATAAAAGAGCAGGATTTTTGGCATATACTACCCAAGCAAAGTTCCAGTTGGCACTGAAAAAGAATTCTGCAACTGAAGGAAAAAGTGAAGGGTGAATTTGACAGTTACAAATGGAAGCATGGTAAATCAAGTAAATACACTCTATCACTGGGGTATAACTGGTTAATGGGGGATGCTATAGAATTCCCTGCTGCTGTTTTTATTTGGTCAAGTTTAATAATCCGAAGCATTCCTTTATTCTGTGGCTGTTGTGGAGGAATAGACTACTAACTAAAAATAGAATGGCTAGTATGAACATCCTGAGAGGCGCTTTGGAATGTACTTTGTGCCAGAATGTACAAGAAACTGCTTGTCATCTGTTTTTTGAATGTTGCTTTGCTAGAAGTCTGTTCACAGTAGTGGTTGATTGGCTGAATATTCAGGGATTATCCCATATCCAGGATTTGTGGAGAGTTGGTATGATGACAGTTTGGAAGAATTCTAACATGAAGAGGAAAATATTGTTTGCAGTAATGGCGGCCACAGTTTACAACTTATGGGAGGAGTGCAACTGCAGAATTTTTACTCAGAGGAGCAGAGCTGTTGAGGTATTGGCAAATGTGATCAAACAAGAAATTAGATGGAGGGTGGAGCATTGTGTAGGCAGCAAAAGAACAGAAAGAGAACAAGAAATTTTGACAACTTTATTTTCATATGAATTGTACAACAATAGATTGTAATAGAATGGAGAATATATTTGATTGTAAACACGCACTTTTTCTACCAAATCAATGAAATTATTTACATTTTACCAAAAAAAAATAATTATTTAGGTTTTGTCACCACTAGAGCAAAGAAGTTATTACCTTGCACATCTAGAACTTTTTTTCAAGACAAATGTGAAAAAATAACTTTTTTTAGTTGAGAAGAAAAATAATTTCATTAAATGATTTTCAAGTTACAATCTTCTTATGTTAAAATGGAATAATGAGTAGTAAACTCCAATTGTTATGTGTTTAACTCGTTTTATCCTGTCTATCACCTAAACCCTAATATGACTGATAGATGTGGTATTTGGACTCGCGCTCAAGCGTGAGGTAGATATCTGATTTGAGTATTGATCGTAAACTTTGTAAAATTAGGATACACGGGGATATATCATGCAATTAATGCTATTAAAGATGTTGTGGTGTTATACTTTAGGAAGATATTGCTTATATTTAGAATGAGAAATTAGTACCTAAACCCCCAAATTTTTATTAATCACAATGGAAGCTAATTCTATGATCTAGCAAACCTGGAACAACATATAAGAGGAGCACGAATAACCTCAATTGTCAAAATTTGAGAACCATTGAGAAAGAAACAATTCATACATGGAAAATACGGAACTTAGGATCCCTTCAAAGGAGAAGGTGGTTACTACTTTTATGGTCAACATCTTCATTTAGTTTAAGGTAAATTTGTGGTTATTTAGAATCTCGAACAGCGGGAAAGGATCTTCTTCTTCATCCTGAAACTTGATTCTTTGGCAAAGTGATATTAAAGAAATCCCCTGACGGGTGATAGGTGACAACTGGACAAGATTATCCTTGATCCCCTCAAGTACTATATTACTTATTTTTCAACTAATTTATGTGATTTATTTATCTTTTGGTTGAGAAGTGTCATGTGGATATGACATATGTTTATAGGGAGACAAATTTTATGTAAGATTATTTAGTGTACTAGATTTAATAGATTAAATGACCTAATGATGCACTTTAGTGTTATTAATCATAATTCAATCCGGGTCTTAAATACCTAAAACGTTGTAATTTGAATTAACTCGACTTGAAAGCCTCGTCCCTATTCTCAAAGAAATAGAAAAATTTCCATAATTCAATAATAGTTGACAAAGGTTATCTTCTTCTCTCCCTCCATCAAGAAGTAAATATGGATTATATTATTTGGAGCAGAGAAAGTAAAATGGCAGTAGAAAACAAGGAAAAACGAACATAAATGTAGAGAGCAAATTGATTCGGTTTTGTATTATTTTGGATACAGAGAAACCATCTACTTATAAAATAAGAATATTGCAACTCCAAAATAATCTATCATTTATCAATTAACTTTGTACTTAACATTCTATTTCAACTGTATAATGCATGTGATGCAAAAGAGTCATTAGTATTTAGAATGTTTTTAAGACATGAAATTATTTTAGTTGTCAAAATCACTTGGTTCATATGTGGAACCAATGCCATTGGATCTGATATAAAATTTTTTGCTCATTTGGTTGCCATGAACAATAGGTAATACATTTGTCTATTTCCTCTTTCCAAATTTCCCTCGATATATCAACAAATGGTGACAAACATTTTGTGTTCCACAAGGAAAACATAACAGAATTGAAAGAAGTGTCATTCACCACATAAATATGATTAGGAATTGTAAATCAACAACATGTTATAATATAAATACATATTTTGATTATGCCATCACACTCGAAGCTAAACACTTGATTAAAATCTTGATTTTCTCTCTTTTTCATTGTATATTACTTAAATTTTATACTAAATTGGCTAGTGCGATCGATGAATTTTAATCTATATAGAGGTAGGAGGGATTTGAATTGGACATGAAAAATTATAATTAACAAACATTGTTCACAACCTAAACTATAAAAGATTTTGTAAATGATCTATCAAAACAAGTTGAATGATACAATGTGTTTAATAAATAATCTGTTTTTTTCTGTTTCATGATACATAATTGCTGAATTTTAAGTGAGTGCTTGAACAAAGGGAAAAAACTTAACCATATCTAAATGAAATAAAAATAAGAGGTGGGAGGAAGAGGTGAGGGGAAGTAGTACTCCTTCAACAGACAATCGCTTAGGACGGGGGGGGGGGTGAGAATCAGGTTATGATGAGTTGATGCTGGAAGAGGGGATTAAATATCCCCTCATATCACCTATACCACTAACTTAGCCGCCTTACCTGATTATCACTCTCTCTTCTAAATTGATGAAAGCTATCTAACTACTATAGAGATTGTGTATTCGACTAGTGAAGTATTCGAGCACAAGCCAGTGATCATAGCTTTATCCAACTTATTCATTATTTTTACTAAACTGAAAGAGGATGAAGGGGAAAAAATGAAAAAGAAAAGGTGAAGATAAAGTAGCGAAAGAAGATGAAGAAGTGAAAGAACTAGAGAGGAAAGTGAATGTTGTAACCCTTCTCTCTACCAAAACTACCCTTGTTTCTCTCTACCGAAAAACCCTAGCAACGACGGCAAATTGGTGGATCGACCTCCATGGCCGGCGCTCATCTGCCGGCGGCTCACCATGATCAGCCAAAAACATTTGCGAGTTTCTTCAAAAAACCTTTAGATGGCTCAATGGCCAAAGATTCTTTAATAAAGCAGGTAAAGTTTATCAACGGGACTCCAACTTTAAAGTTTGAAGATGATGAATTCGAAAAATTGGTAGCCCCCCATCGCTTGAGTTTGGTTGGAAAATTCTCGTATGGGAGACCAAAAATGGAAGAGGTGCATAAGGAATTCAAGAAAATCGGCTTCAATGGTGGATATACCTTGGGTTTAATCAATCCGAGGCATGTTTTGATCCGGTTTGAACAAGAGGAAGATTATCAAAGATGTTGGATACGTACGTTTTGGGATATCGGGGGTTTTTCTTTGCGAATTTTGAAGTGGACTCCCGGAATTCGATTTGAGGAAGATCCACCAGAGGTGCTAATATGGGTTGCTCTTTACGATCTTCCCATTGAATATATGCATCCTGAGGTTATTTTCTCAATGGCCACAGCATTGGGACAACGTTTGACTCGTCCATCGGTTGCGCGATTTTGCGTAGAAGTGGACCTCAAAAAAGGTTTCCCAAAGTCTGTCAAAATTGGCAAGAAGTGCTGGAAGCATGAGCAACTGTTCACGTTTGAACATGTGTCATCTTATTGTGTTAAGTGCAGTAAGGTCGGTCATAAAAATGAAGAATGTCGGAGGGGGAAACCCTTGCAGCAGAACAAAGGTCGTGACTCAATTGAGGCGCAGGTTGTTTAGAAGAAGGGAATCAAGATTGCGTCGGCTAAACCAAAATGGAATTTCAAAATTGGGACTAATAAAACTGATAAGCAAGCCCTCGATATGGAGATTATCTCTACTGATCCTCTGATAGCGAAAGGTGTTGAATTGCAACAGCCCACATTGCATGATCCTAAACCTCCTGCGAAAACCCTAGCTGCGCGAGATTCTTTGTCGCAGCCTGCGGAAACCCTAGATGCGCGAGATTCTTTGTCGCAGCCTGCGGAAACCCTAGATGCGCGACTAAAGGGTTCGACGTCTGGTTTATCTGCGGCAGAGAAGGAAACCATTATTGTTGATTTTCATCCATCCCCTGAAAGAAATGAGAACGAGATTGATGTAGTTAAAGTGCATAACTCTATTCCAGCCCCAACTACAAACAAATTCTCGACGCTACAAGATATGTGCGACGGTGAAGTTGATTTGCCAGTTGAGACGAAAGACGAAGTTGAGAATGTGTATACAGAAGGTAATGATGTTCAAGGTGATAAGCCAGCTGCTCTGATGAATGAATCAGCTCCAGAAGCGATAACTGTCATGGATGACAAGTCTGCTACTCCTTCAAACGAATCGATTACCGATGTTGTTTTATCAAGCATGTCGCAGCCGGTGCTTGGTAAGTTCCCAGATGACTCTTTCGAGATGGACAGCCAAGATGATAATGAAGACTAAGAGGCTGGAGGTCGGTGGTCAGAAGGTGAAAAAGATGATGTGCTAATAACTGAAAATGAGCAAGGGAAACGTACTGTCAAGAAGAAGCGTGGCCGGAAAACGAAGGAGGCTTGTGCTAAACAGTTGGAAGGGGCTGAGTTGCGGCAATCCCTTCAATTTCAGTAGTGTGTTTTTTATGAATTTATTCAATGATTAGTGTTATATTTTGGATTGTTGGAGGAATAAAAAGTCAGGCGTCGCAACATCTCTATCGAACTCTTATCTAAAGGTTTCGAGTTTCACTTGTGGTGATTCTCGAGCCGAAGCTTCCGGTTTATGAGTTAGAGGAAATAAAGAGAGAGCTGCACTTCGATTTGGCTTTCTCATCTTCTACAAGTAAGATTTGGGTTATGTGTAGTAAGCTTTTTACGGTTAATGTGTTGGATGATAAGGAGCAAGTTTTGCATCTTGAAGTTGGTTATGTTCCTCTTCAAAAAACATTTCTCTTGTCATCCGTATATGCTAAGTCGAATAGAGTGGATAGAAGGCCTCTTTGGTCCAGTTTGGAAACTTTCAGGGATGCTTTTCCTAATTTTTCATGGGTGGTTGGTGGCGACTTTAATGTAATTCACTCATTGGAAGAGTACTCTGGGTCTTCGGTATAGGATTATGGTGCTATTGAAGAGTTTAATCAGGTAATTGAGTCGAGTGGTTTGCTTGATACGTCTCCAATTGCAGATGAGTTTACTTGGGGAGGCATTCGGAGTACCGGTTGGGTCAGCAAGAGATTGGATCGTATTTTGTTTACCAATGAGTGTTGGACATGTTTCCTAGGGTTTCGGTTGAACATCTATGCCGAACCACATTGGATCATTGTCCGATTCTTCTTCAATTTGATACTCAGCTTGAAAGTAAGCCTAAATTATTTCGGTTTCAACAAATGTGGCTTAGAAGGTTGGAGTTTAAAGATGTAGTCAAGGAGAATCAGTCTCAGCCGGTCAGAGGATTAGGAATGCTAGCCTTTTTAACAAAGCTTCAAAGATTGAAAATGAAGCTTAAAGAGTAGAATAAGGAGCATTTTGGGGATGTTTTCCACAATTTAAAGTTGGCGGAGGATAGGGTGCACGACATGGAAGTTGCTTTTGATCATTCTGGTGAGATGGTGGATAAAATTAATCTCAATATGGCTAATGCTCACTTGTTGCAAAAGCTAAAAGAACATGAGGAAATCTGGAAGCAGAAGATGCATTTGAAGTGGCTGAAGGAAGGGGATTCAAACTCTTCTTATTTTCATGCAACCTTGACAGAAAAGAGAGTGAGAATGGGTATTTAAAACATCCAAACTGAGGATGGTCGATGTTTATCAGAGATGAAGGATATTGAATGTGAAGCAGTGGTTTTTTTCAAAAATTTATTGAGGGCTGATGAGGAATCGCAACACTTAGAGGAGAAAAAAGGAATTTTTTTGCAACATCTCCATGATGAGCTAGGTTCGAGTGAGAAGGAAATGCTTGTTCGCATGGTGATAATGGATGAAGTGAAACATGCGATATTTGCCCTTGATAAAGATAGCTCTCCTGGAGTAGATGGTATTGGTGGATCTTTCTATAGGTTCTGTTGGGAAGTCATTGCGGATGAATTGATGGGAGCTTGTAGGGAATTTATGCGTGGAGTACCAATCCCGAAGAAGCCTTCATTTGTCACATTTTCATATTTCCGTCCAATAAGCCTATGTAACTTCCTTAATAAGGTTTTTACTAAGGTAATAATAGAACGTCTAAGGAGGGTATTACCAAAGATTATCTCGGAGGAACAATCTGATTTTTTGGAGGGCCGTGATATTGTTGATAATGTTGTCCTAGCGCAGGACCTTTGCCAGTTTATTACTCGCAAGGTGGTTGGTAATAATGTGGTAATAAAGGTCGACATGATGAAAGCATTTGATAGAGTCTCTTGGAATTTTTTGGAAAAGGTGATGCTCAAGCTAGGGTTTCCACCGCATTTTGTTTTGTTGATTATGAATAATTTGCAAGGTAGTTGGTTCTCGGTAATGGTAAATGGCACTCCAACTGGCTTCTTTAAGTCATCTCGTGGCATAAAGTAAGGAGATCCACTTTCGCCATAACTATTCATTTTAGTGGCTGAGGCAATGTCAAGACATCTAAAGTATTTGGTTCAAGCTGGAAAATTGGCAACTTATGGTACTCCTGCGGGTTCTTTACCAGTCTCATACCTTAGCTTTGCGGATGACTTAGTAATTTTCACAAAGGGTGAAAAGAGGTCATTGAGGGTGCTGAATGCTTTCTTTGATGATTATGAGATTGCGTCGGGTCAGAAAATGAATAGACAAAAAAGCTTTTTCCGGAGTCTTGTCGCGCACAAAGGGTGGAGATTATTAAGAGCACTTTGGATATGGATAAGGGTTCTTTTCCTTTCATGTATTTGGGTTGTAAGTTGTTTCAAGGAAGGAAAAGAGCTTCTACTTTTCAGTTCTTACTGGATTCACTTGATGCGAAGTTGGCAAGCTGGAAAAATAGATTTTTAAGTCCGGGAGGAAGGCTTATTCTTCTAAGGCATGTTCTGTCGGCAATCCCGTTACATGTATTTTCAGCGATTTGTCCTCCTGTCTCGATTCTCAAGTAGATGGAGAAAAGGTGTCAACTGTTTCTTTGGCAAGGTTCAAATGGGGAGAAACGCAAGCATTGGAGGTCATGGGATCGTTTAACGTTCCCTAATCAGAAAATGGGTTAGGTTTGCATCGTTTTCAGGATGTGGTACAGGCCTTTTCGTGTAAGCTTTGGTGGAAGGTAAAACAAGAACAAGGGTTGTGGAGTAAATTTGTTTTATCTCTTTTAGAGGCTGCAAGGCAGAAAACCACTTGGATTAGAATCAAATCGGTGGAACATGAGGCAATTCAGCATACAAAAGGCTTGGTTCAGGGAGAAGATAGATCTTTTTGGTTTGATAATTGGGCACCGGATGGGGTGATTTGGGAGTCTCTTGATGAGCCGCTGATAATGCCAAACTTGACAATTCATGATTTCTTTTCTAATAAGATTATGTTGTTGTCTGATTTGCAGGGATCTTTGAGTCCAATTGTAAGGCAAAAATTGACACATATGGATTTTGTTTTGAGTGATGAACAAGATAAGCTCCTTTGGCAGTGTACAACTTCGGGCTATTTCACCATCAAATCAGCTTACTGGAGCTTGCGACGAAGGCATTTGGAGGATCCTTTGGCGAGAAAAGTTTGGCACAAGGTTATTCCGTTAAAGGTATCCTTTCTTGTTTGGAGGGTGCGAAACTTGTTGGTACCTTTTCCAGAAATATTATGTCGTTTGGGTATTCATGTCAGACCTTCAATGTGTTACTTTTGTAAAATGCATGAAGACAATTTGTATTATTGCTTTTTTGGCTGTGCGGAGTTTAAGGAGATTTGGGAATATTTTGCACAAGTTTTCCAAGTTCCTATTGTTAATGAGGTAACTTTGTTGGGAGTTTTGCTAAAATGGTGGAACAAGGGCAACTTTGAAACTGCAAAAAAGACCCTAATTAATGTACTACCATCCTTCATTTTATGGGAGGTTTAGAAGTATAGGAATAGGGTTTGTTTTGATGGTGTGAGCTTTGACTCGAGAAGGGCAATTTTAGAGATTGAGAAAGAACTCCGGAACGTTTTGTCTGTTCATGACTTGAAAGCTAAAAATGTGGAGGAGAGGAACTTTCTTGACCAGGCTTTTGGATTCAAATTGAAAAGACTTAAGCGTTATTGTATTACAGTCAAATGGATGGCAGCTCGCACAAAAGGGTTTGTACTTAATACTGACGGCTCTTTGGTAAATACGGACACAGGGTACGGTTTTGCAATTAGGAAGCATGATGGCGATTTTTCGTGCGGCAAAAATGGTTATCTTGGAGGCAGGGATAGCTTTGGAGTAGAAGTGTTTGGCCTGTTGTTTGGAGTCAGAAAATGTGAGCAGCTAAGTCTAGAGATGGTGGACATTCAAACGGATAATAGGGCATTGGCGGAATTGTCGGTTTCTATGAAGTCGATTCCCTGGAAATTTTATCCTCAGATCATGGAGATTCGCTTGATTATACACATATACAGGGAAGCTAATGCGGTCACAGATAGCTTGGCAGGATTGGCATCACTTGGCAACTCAAAAACATACAATGGATTAGAAGGATTGCCTAGACATGTTAGGGGTCTTGTACTTCTAGAGCAAATATATTTTCCTTACTTGCGAGTTAGATTAAAGTAGATGCTTGTTGTAACCAGCAAGGGTATGACCCTACTCTTCCCTTGCCATTGTTTTCTTCAAGATTTAATAAAATTAAGGGAGGGATGAAACTAGGAACTAGATAGTATATATGTTCATCACTTGGGTATACCCCTTGGGTGCATTGTGCTATCTAGCACTGGTTGGCTCGAAACATACCTCTTGGGTAGACCCCTAGAGTTTGCTAGAGCCAACTGGAACGTGAACGTTATCCCAACCTCCATTCATTAAAAAAAAAAAAAAAAAAGGTGAAAGAACTAGAGAAGAAGAGATATTTGATGGTGAGAAGATACTCGGCAACTTAGGATTAGAAGATGAGGAAGTAAGATTTAATGACTGCTTAATTGATCGTAGCGTGGGAATATGTTCTATTTGTCTCTCATGATGTGAGACGGCCATGGAGATTGAATGGGTACCATGCTTATACATGCATGGTTTCCATTCGACATGTCTTGACGACTGGGAGTAAAGACACAATGCGGCAATCACAAGTTGTTTCTACTGCAGGGCTAGTGGGATGGAGCGAATTAGGATGATATAGGTTGTTGAATCTCCACATGGTATTTGTATTTTGGAAGCAAAAACCTTATTTGGTTGCAGTTTATACGTGCAAATCTAGACTAAGACATTGTAATAGTTCCGAGTTAATCAGTTGATTTTTCATATGTCGAACTCTATATGATCAATTTAAAAAAAATAGTGTAGGAATGGGAAAAAAATCTTATATACAGTAAATGTATGCACTTTTTTAGTGCATGCAAACAATAGGAATTAATCTTAGTGTTGTCTTGTCGTACAAGATGCGACAAGGGCCCATCGTTGAACATTATATTTTTTTGAAAAATATGGTATAATATGTGGTAGTTTAGAAAGTAGTATGCACTTATGTTGTTGGAGATCAATATCCCATCGTTGAACATGATACTCTTTTTTTTTAAAAAAAAAAAAGAATATTCAAAATATATTCTGGTATGTGAAGATACAAACTTTAAGTTGAATTTGCATGATGTAAGTTGTTTTTTTTTTTTTTTGGGGGTGTTGTAATGGCTGGAAATAAATCTATGAAAGTTACTTTGTCACATTTTTCTTGCTTGTATGTGACAAAGGAAAAAAAAAATTTAGTTAACGACATTATAAATCGGTTCTTAGTAGTTTTTTGAGATTTCACTTACGATTTAGTCAATAGAAAACAGATGGGATTTATGAAGAAAGAAGAAGAGAAAAACAAGTGTTGGTCTAATTAAAATTTTAATGATGTGTTGAGAGAAAATTGGACAGAAATTTTAAAAGTTATTTGGTAATAAATTAAAATTAAGATAAATTAATAAAAAGATTTAGCATGATGATATGTACATGTTTTTTAACTTGTGAAGTTTTTCTACCAAGCGTCACATGGCAAAATGAAATTAAATTTCTAAATTTGGTTTGCAACATATATCATAAGTAGTGACTGTGGGATCGGGTTCGGTAGTTCTCTCACATGACATGTTTCTCTTTTTGATGTTTATTTTAAACTTTTAATTTCGTTTTCTTTTTAAGCCAATCTTAGTGCACCTCTTTGTTTTTCTCTCGAAATATTTATTGTGATTTTTTATTAAGATTGTTGAATTTTTTATTTCTTTTTATCTTCTATTATTTATTATAGGAAGTTTTATTTCCCTTCATCTTCCCTTCATCTTCTATTATTCATTTTAGATGTTATATTTTTCGTCTTCCTTAGTCTTTTTTTTCTTAACTACATGTGTTATGTTATTCATCTCCCTTTATTTTCTGTTATAGTCTTTTTTTATTTATTTGGAATCTTTTCATCTACTGTTTTAGTAACCAATAAATACTTTCTACTAAAATTATCTAAGGATCATATTTTATTTAGAGTCTTTCATTTTCTCTTTCCTTCTTCTTACTTATCTCTGGTCCAGTTTTTGTCTCTCTTTTTTTTATTTCCTATTTTGCAAATTCATTTTGAATTATTTTTCCAACAACCTAATAAGAACTTTAATATCAATTTGAGCGCAAGTAGAAATGGACAATTTTGGCTAATTACATAATATGAAGATGAGTTGCAAGATCTAAAAACAAGGGTGGTTCCAACAGAAAAATTTTAGAGACATGGATGTCTTCTCAATTTTACATAAGTTTTAAGTCTTTTACACTTACAATTTGTAAGTAATAGTTTATTCTAATTTTTTTTTTTTTTACTTAAATTCTTTGAACTATGACTCACCTTATTCAGGCCATAGAATTTAAGGGTGTAAATGCCAATTTATCTCTCTGTTCTTCTTTTAGTTACATTTTAATATATTTTTATAGTAACAAAATGTAATACAAAAATAAGACATGTGGAGTATTCCTTATTCTTTAATTTAATCATATGATAATTATATACTCAAACCAATATATATTGTCAATCTTATGTTTCTTTTTATTCCCATACGCTCAAAGCGAATTTGATCCATCTAGTTGTTTTTAATATAGTAAGATTTTGACATAATTTGGAAAAACTTCGTCTTTTATGATAAGCCTTGATTATTATTGGTTTTTAACCAAAAAAAAATTTTAAAACTGTAATTTCAGTGGATTAAGTGGATTAAGTAGTTATAATAAGTTTCCATTTTAGAACGTTTTATAATGAAGATAAGGCGGAAAAAATGTTAGTATTAATTTATTTATACATGGTCAATAATAATTTTGCGAACATCTAATTGTAGTATATGAGATGCGTCCAATTGGTCCGGCAAACCTATTTCAGTCTGAAATCTGAATGGCTCCTGAAACTGACGAAGATGTTCGTGGATCTTAATTTAGGAAAGATATGTATGCAATTTTCGAACTTTCTGCTCCATTAATTTAGTTGAACAAGATACACAAACATAATGATTTTATGAATCTGATCTAGCATTTTTGGAGTTTTTGAAAAAACTACAGGCTACGGTGGATGTTACGTGACAAAAATAAGCCGACTTTAAAGTTTGGCTTCTGTTTTGAGATGAGATTATTTTTCACTGTATTATTAATTTTGAGGAATGGCATCTAATACTTGACCAAGTTCCTTGGTCAACCTGTCAGCTCGATCGTCCTGTCCACCAGCAAACGTATACACTCGAAATGCAAGCTGAAATGCTTTCCATAGCAATCGTATGTGTGCTAATCTTCTTGTTTCATCTGCTTTTCTTCTCTCCTGAATTTCAGAAAAACATCATTCAGGTGAAAAATTCCGATGATGACAACATATGATTTATATAACCGATTTAGTTAATGTGACAAAATCGGCATTTTTGACGATGTAAAATGGAGTTGAACTTGAAAATGTTAAAAACTACCTGAAGGGCCAACTCCATGCTGCCTGAGGAAACATCCACCATAAGTTCCTTGATTCTGACCATTACCTTGAAATCAAAATCAATGTCATGATCTTTGAAATGCTTCAAATCTTCATCTTTGGTCCGCTCCAATGCTTCGATTTCTCCTTTAATCTGCTTCATTATATCATTAACTTTTTGTTCCTTGATTGAAAAAAAAAATGGTTGCATTGTAACCAAAAATGGCCTAAAATCCAGAGATTTTACCTTGTTGAAGTATTTCTCAACCTTATCAAGGAGCTGGTCTAATGGAGGTTCAATTTTCCAGTTCTTCAATTCAAGAGCCATTCCTTCCAATTTTGAGTGAAATGATGCTGCTGCCCTCAAGTACTCCAGCTTCTTTGTAGGGAAACCTTCAAACCTGGCCAAAACCTGTGATTTTCAAGAAACTTTTTCTTGCTCATTTCAAAGATGTTCACAATCTAATCATCTGATCAGCAAGCAAAAAAAAAAAAAAAAAATCTTGATACATTCATCATTACCTGAGTCTCATCTGTCAGTTGCTCTAGTTGTTTTTCCACGTCACCGCGAAATTTAACTAGTTCATCCATGTCTTTTGTCTTGAAGTAACTGATCGCGTCTTTGAGCTGGATGACCATTTGAGAATGCTTCTGAACATCTTTTTCAATCTGCTGAAAATATGCTGACCTGATTGGAACCAAAACAAAAGACATGAAAGCATCATCAGCTCTGCATCTTAACTGACATGTACATAGTTCCTGAATGATTATGTATACCTTCTTGTTATCTCCGCAAGCGCATCAGCCCATCCTTGTTTTGCATTGGAAGAGCCACCAACACGAGCCCTTGTTTTATTAGATGTCGAACCACTAGAATTTGATCCTTCCAGTTTTCTCTTAAGACTTCGATATAAATTACCCATGTGGCTTGACATTTTAAGTTTGGAATCTGATCTTCTCAGGCGCAACATTTTCGAACCCTTGCCTCCTGGAGGAGGCGGTGGAGGTGGACCGGGTGGAGCAGCTTGATTTGTCTTTGGTGGTTGGACTAATGGGGATGATTTTGGAGGGCTGACAGGTAATGGAGATGGAGGAACTTTGGTTTGGGATGTTGGCTCAGCTTTTGCTGACTTTGAAGTTACAGTTGGAGGAGCAATTGGCTGCAGTTGGAAAATTTTAGGCTTCTTTTTCAAATCTGAATTCTGACTTCCTGACATGTCATTTGTAGCAGTCACTGTTTGAAGTTGTGCAGCGCTGCTCTTGGCTCTCTTAAGGTTTCTTCCATGTCTTCTATCCATCTTCTCATTCCTAAACTCATCAGGGACAGTCCGAAATATGTTTACGGAGATGCATTTTTCAGCAGCCTGAATTAAAGGAGGCAAAATTTTCGAAACATCAGCAAACGAACCAACTCGCGTCAACGTGGTAATGTCAGCAGGGAGAGATCTCGGAGACACTGGTGATGGACAGGTGTTCTTAATATCATCCAGGGACATTTCTGATCTTGAGCCCTTCACATTGCTTTTACGGGTTTTTTCGCGGATGATGTCGAAATTTTGCCTTCCAGCCTTAATCATATTATCAAGCTTTTGAATCACATGTCCACCTTGAATTGACACAAACTGTAAAATTTTCATTTTTTTTCTTCTCCAAAACTTTGAATCGCAGAAACAGTTCATTTATTATGAGAGAAGAACCTCACCAAGTTGGTTTGAGTTCATAACATCAGGACTAAGATTCGCACTGCGGCCAGAGTTAGCAGAAGACAACTGACTCTTAGACCAGTAGACCCCAAATGATTTTAGAGCTTCATTAAGAAAGGACAAGTCCTGAAGACAGAGAAAAAACAACGAGATTTATTTCCCTGTTAGTCTTTGCAGTTTCAAGTCATTCACTAACAAATTAACCTAAGCTAATGAATCAAATATATCAGTCCACCTGCTGTAGTGAAATGTCATTCATTTCTTTGATGTTGGGCACAATTCCTGGATTCAACTGGTTGAGATCCTCCAATGTTCGCTTGATCAGCTTTCAGAAATCAAATAAAAAATCTCAGAAAGAGATGACAGATTTGAAAGAAATTAAGAACCTTTCTCTTTTGAGCTCATTCAACAAGACTTTAGTACTAGTTAAGTACCTCAGCAATTGGAACAGAATCATCACAATGTGGAAAAGAAATGATGTTTCTAAAATTTAAGATCTTCTTCCTGAGTTCCAACATCAACATTATGTCTCCTATTCCTCCATCCGAATTTTTTAACTCCATTTCTGCCACTTCTCCGTCATTGTTGAACGATTCCATGCCTGTTTTAGCCTAGTGGAATGATGAAAACAGAGAATTGTAATTTGTAATGGCTGCAAACTTCCATTAACAACGTAACATTGTCTACATTACCTGTTTTCCCTTGTTGGTCATTATTATCTAAAATATTCCATCAAACTTAACCGAATTCGACCGGGAAATCATAATAAGATGAAGGGTTCTATGAATATACCTGTTGCTTGACAGAACTCTGTCTCAGCACAGACAATGGTGCAGTATATAGTGTCCGAGACATGGTCATATTTGTCTTGGTTTTTCTTGTAAAAGCTCAAATTGTGAATGTTCTCTGAGGATATAGATTTGTTTATGATAGGCAATTATCTTGCAAATACTGGAAAAGGAAATCAAACTAAAGAAGAAGAAGAAGAAAAAAATTTGTCAGCGAGTAATCTTTTTTAAAGTAGAAAAGTATAGTAATGATCCTGCAGAAAAAAAAATCAAACTTCTTCAGTTAAGGACTTAAAGGTGCCCTGGAATTGATGGAAAATGGTGATTATTGACAGGAAAGAGTAAAGGGATTTCTAGGAATTTTGGACATAATTCAGGAAGTGAAAGTCCCCAGAAAATTGTTTGCATTCTCCTCCATTAGAAGAGGGCCTTCAGTCAAGGCCAGAAAAATTGAGAAGGGCATTTTCTTTTCTTGCTTCGGGATTGATTGTATTACTGCTAAGTTTGTTTAATCCTTGGGATTAGGAGTTGAAGGGTGGAAATGTATGCCATTTGTTTGTTTAAACAACAACAAAAAAGGAAAATACTGAAGGTACGGTTAATCAGCCAACCACAATTTTAGTTATAAAAAAGGAAATATCAATTAGCTAGGTCTTCTTATTAATGAGGTCTTTTTTTTTTCCTTCTGCAAAACTAATACTCCCTCCGTCCCATAATTATTGTCCACTTTGCCCAAAAAATTTTGTCCCAAAATTATTGTCCAATTTGACTTTTTATGGATCAAGTTACACATTTGTCCTTAGTAAAAAACATTATCCACAAAATCTTAGTGGTTAAACAATTACTTATGTAGGGGTATATCCGGTTATTTAAGGTAAAATATAATTAAGTTTGACCAAAAATAAAATCTTTCATTTTAGTAAAACTGGACAATAATTATGGGACGGAGGGAGTACTACATTTTTTTTCAATTTATTTGTCCATTTTGACCAAGTAGACCTTTTTTTTAACGGGTCTCTTTCATTTTTCAAAGCTTATTTATTATTCCCTCCGTCCCATAATTATTTTCCAGATTGAATTTTCATTTTTAGTGCAAATTGTACTAAAAGTAAATCTCAAACTGGACAATAATTTTGGGACAGAAGGAGTACTATTTTTTTTACCAAAAATTTTCCCCTCCCTCCTTTTTAATAGATTTTACTTATGATATAATCTTTATTTGTTCACTCTTTCATAGTCATACATTTAGACAGATAAATTGACGAGAAAGTAGTCTTGGGTAACATATCCCCTATATGTCATTATAGAAAGATTGTTAAATTATCCACTGAAACATTTAAGGTTAGCTTCGTATTTAATTTTATGCATTGTAGTTAGGAACTAAAAGATCAAAACTAAGACTGTGTGTCAATGTGATTCCAAATTCTGTTTTGTGATTTAGTGTTTTCGAAATATTTCAATGACTCCGTTTGTTTTGTGACTTTCTCAAAAACGTACTTTTATACAATTTTTCCACACCAGTCAATACTGATCAGCAGCGACTGTCATTGACCATCGCCGGCCACCAAACGTTCCGGCCAACTTTCGGCAACTTAGCTTCATTGTCTAATTTGACTATCTTGAATATTTATATATTATGTCTCCAAAAAAATACTTCTTCTTAATTTTTTTATTTTTTTGCTCCAAAAGAAAAAAAAATACTTCATATTATAATTTGTAAATTATTTTTAATAAAATTTAAAAATTATAATGTGAACTATTTTTATAAAAAAAACTCGACCCCGAAAGAGTATGAGAAATTGCAATGTGTTTGGGCCACTACTACAAACATTTTGTTGGCTCAATAACTACAGCCATCGGCAATTAACACTCCTTCGTTCAGGAAAAAAATAATAATAATAAAATAAGTATAATCCAAGTACACATGAAATTTCATATTGCAAAAACTAGTATTATATAAAATAAAAGAACTCCTCCTTATAAGAATCCTCCCTCTTTCGCAAAATGAAAGTATAGTCTATCGAACTAAAACAATTTAACTTCGAAACTTTTATTTTGAGACAAGGGAGCACTTTATATTCGATTGGAAACATGGAACAACAAAGGTCTAATTGATGAAATCATAGTTCTTACCATAATAATTTTGAAACTATCTATCTTTAGCTTTCTTTTTTGGTGTTACCTAGAAATTTTTTGAAGATGATGATCAGCAAAGTTTGACAATTCCGGAAGGGGAAGTAACACAAATGGCGGATCCCGATTTACAAGAAGATCTCAGATAATCAGCCCTCATAAACGACAAAACCGAAACCACCATTGACTTCACTTTGACCACGAATTTCTTCAGCTTCGGATGAGATTTTCTGGAAGAATTATTGTTATTATTCGTGACCGATGACAACTTGTAAGTTTGTAGGAAAATCTGCCTCTGCCTTGCCCTGTTTCTCCGGTAACTGAAAGAACTCAGCATCACCGCCGGCGGATGTTGCCTCAGGCTTGTACTGCTCCTCGGCTTAGAAACCGGTCTCCGGTCACCGTGGCCGTCATAATCATCAGAACTATCGTGATCAACACCGACCCTTTTTCTCCGGTTATGATCGCCGGTTGGTTTCAGGGCCTCATAGCCGTCGGACCGGCGGTGGCTATACCGGAAATTGGTATTTCCTAGTATCGTATCCATTTGGTATGAGAGTAGGAACTAAGTAATGGGAGCAGATTAAGCTTAAATATTGTGGGAGGGATCCAAATAATAAAATGAAATTAAATGAATCATTAGTGGATGAAATTTGATCAGATCGTCATTATCTTTGACCATCTTAGCCATTTGTTTCAATTTATGGCGGCGAATTTAGCTTCTAGTAGTGGCGGATTATTATTATTATTATGTGAAATGGTAGAAAAAAAAGTTGTGTAGTCAACAATTGCTAATTTTTTACCGACTCTTATTTGTTATACTATTCTCAAACGAAAATGACAAACATGAATGATCACCATTTTTTTGTATTAATTATGTTCTAACCACCAAAAAGGAAAAAAAAAATCCCTCTTCGTCTAAAAAACATGCATGCATGTTTAGTTCATAAATATGAATTTTATTATTGGAGCCGAGATCATCATTTTATTAGTGGGCTATATGTAAAATTAAAGACAAAATATCTCGTGAAGGAAATAAAATATGAACCTTTAATATCTTGGCACAGAATGACAAAAATAGCCCGTGGATATACGAAAATCAGTGTATGTACGTATTACTACTAAAATAATATGTACCGATATAGATGAATATAGACCATGGAAGACGACATTAAGTAGATAATTAATTGATTAAGATTTTCTCCTTTGTCAGCAACATGTCATTTGGGGGTTCAACAATATGTATGCAAATTGCATACGGCCAGCAGTTATAGTACTTCTTTAATGTTGATTACGAGGAGGAAGATTCTTATGATTATATACTTCCAGGAAAGTGTCATTTGAGTGTGCAATCAATCTTTATGCCGTCCAGCTTCGTTTGGATCTTCAACCTTAGATGCTTGGCGGAATGGTACCAACTCCAGCCTTTTTACTTCAAGAAGATACTATCATAATAATATGATGTACTTTCAGTAAATTAAATAACTATCTGAATAAATTATATCTAGATTAATCTATATTCGACCCAAAATTTTGGCCATTATCTAATGAAGATAAACTTTGTCGGTCGAAATGGAGAGTATAAAACTTGTTATCTTAAACTTTGTTTATCAAAATCGATCCAAATGAGATGTACCGTTCAAATATGTGGATCGAAACAGATCAAACGAGAGAGATATGCACGTTTCACAGAAGCTGATCACATTAATTAATTATAATTGCTTCAAGAAAAGGATATATGCATACATGCACGACTTTACTACGTGACATTTTTTTTACTGAAACGGGAAAACCTGCGCCACACGGTAGAAATTTATTTTCATTTTGGATTTATTGTTACACTCTTCTGTCATTTCATGCCAGCTTTCTTTTCTTTTCATTTTTCTCCTTTCATTTTTTGGAGGTCATGTACGTTCTTACTCTGTTGTTGTGAAATTAATAGCTTTTACTAACATACTCATTTTTTATTTTTGTACGCTGATGAATAGTTCAGTTCAGTACCACGAGGATTGGTGGTTCTGATTCAAGCTAAAGATACGAGTTGCGATAATATATATAGTTTCCTTTTTTAAGAATTGAGTAGCATAATAAAAAGAAACTGCAAATGAAAACCAAAAACCAAAACAAATGAATAAATAAAATACCTTCTTTATAACAAAAAATAGTTCACTTTATTTTACTTGTTTAGTTCTAGTAAACTAATTTTCAGAGACTGATGGAGTACCATATATCCGAATATAAAACTTTTAAGTTTTTATTTATTTACATAAAATCAATACAAAATCTATAACTAAAGTTGTTATTTGATATTTGATTCAATGGTGCAATACACATTGGTTATATTGAGATTTCAAAGACTAGAGAAATTTAAGTCCCTAGGCTCTTGCCTCCTATTATTGTACCAAAAGAAAAAGACTAGAGGTGCCTAACATGAGCGAGGGGAATTAGTGACTGATGTGTCTATAGTAATTAAAGGTAAAATGGTAATTTTGGAGGGAAAAAAAAATTTCAACAGCAAAGTGACAACAAAATAAGAGTATACATCAGTCAATATATTTTTTCACTATATTATTTCACTTAGAGTATTATTTTCCAAATATATTTTTGCAACTAATCTCTTGGATTGCTACAACGTCCGCGGTAGAGAGATTCTTTAAATTGCACTCTTATAAGGAATCGTACCCTATCAATTGATGTAATCCGTGTTTCTTATATACATGACTTGTTCTATAATATTAGACTTAGGTCTTCATTGCACCAAAACTATATGTAAATAAATAATATCACCTAGTGGGAAAAAGGCTTATTGTTGTTGTAAATAAACAAATCAAATATCATCTTGAAAAAGTAACCAATTAAAGAACTTAAACTACATCCTGAATTAGATAAAGCTCTTTGTTTACATTGAGGGAGCATATTCAAAGGTCAAGAAAGCAAATTCAAAGGTCAAAAAAATCAAAAGAAGAACTAAATGGAAGAAAATAAGAAATTATAACAAGGAGAGAACCAAATTAATTTAACTCAGACTACTACAAAACTTTACAAATGGAAGATAAAGGGGGAAAAACACCCAAAAAAAAAAAGGAAGAAGAAGAAGAAGAAGAAAAGAGTAGCAACATTTGTCAATGTCGACTAACAAAATCTACCCTAAGTAATGAACATTAGGGTCACAAATTTTCTGGTTCATTCATGGGACAGGATAGGACTTGTTACGGCACATGCATTTATAAGCCATGGGACAAGTCTCAGCCTCTTCAAGTGAAGCACAAACGAAGCTGACCATCACCAACCGACATGGATTGCATGATCCACAGGCATGAGAACAATCGGGCAGACTCGACCCGGCTATTTGTAGTGTGTCTGCTCTTTTGTGTATCATTCCGCCCCTCTTTGTTGTGTCCCAAGAATTTTCTGGTACTTTCACAAATGCTTCATCTTTTCTAATAACATTCCCCACTACTGTTGTTGCATGGTGATGCCCATGACCTAAAGAAAATAAAATAAAACATTTGTGAACATTTTTATTTTTTTAATCGAAAGGAATATTGTTCGTTGTATCAGTATGTAACAACATGTAACAAATGTGCTTCTTGCGTTATTTCATACTAAAAGAAAAAAAAAAGGAAAAAAAAAAGTAAGAACTTACGTGAATGCGGCTTTCCAATTCGTCTAGCGGGTACGGAAACTGGAAATGATATGGAAATGAGAAGCAATGTGAGGACCATGCAAGCTGCTGAATAACCCTTCATTTTTTATTACTACTTTGTAATCTTTTTTGTTCCTTTTTTCTTTTGAATTTGTTGATGGGGAAGAGGGCTAATGTCTTCTTCTGAGTTGTAATATGCTTCTTGTTTGGGTAGTGAAGAAATGTGCCCAAGTTTTGAAGAAGATTTAAAGGGCTAGGAAAGAAAAGGTGGTATTGAAGCAAGTCACACAAAGAAAGAGACGAGGGGAATACAAATGCAGAAAGATCACATGAATAGAAATGTTGAGCACGGGTTTGCGCTATATATAACGTATACCACAAATGCTTGTGAAAAAAACGGCCAAAAAATCATGCATTTTCTCAACTCACATTTCAAATGAGAGCAAAAGAATTATTTGCTGTTTTTCACTGACACGGATTGTTTCTAATTCGTGAACATTTTTAATGCATACAATAAGTTAGTGAATTTTTCACAGACTTAACATTTCAAAATTCAAAGGTTTTATAAAATTAAATGTTACGTAGAACAAATAGTTAAAAAAAAAAAAAAAAAGTTGCATACACACGGGCCTAATTATGTGACTACCATTAATGCAGTGATATATCTTTCCATGGGGCCTCTGATCTGTTGTTACTCAGTCTCTGGTTTTTTGGTTTTATGGGTACTATTATAAAAAAAAAAAAATAATAACAATAAAAAAAAAGGAGGCCAGATGAAAGTTCTTTCATGGCATGTGATAAATTTATGATATGGAACTTTTTTACAATAAATATTCATATAGGGTTCAATGGAGCTCCAACTTGATCGAAGCGGGAAATTCCTTGGATTCTTAATAATATTTGGATCCAGCTGAAAGCGATGACTCATTTCCAAACTATGTAGCAAATAGTACATTTCTTCTGTAACGTTATTTTATGATTTTTATTCAATATTTATGCTATAGTATACAGTAGTAAGTAGTTCATCATATCACGTTAAATATTGGTATATTTTACTTAGATAATTGACCGATGTATGCATTCATCGATATCACTTTGAACCATTTCTACATAAATTCTTAGGGCAATAATGATGCGCCAGGATTTGCCGAAGCTTGAATATTGAGATATGAAAAATGTTCCGGCTTTAATTAATTACACCGTTAATTTGGTCTAAAACCCCGTTGTTCAACCTCACAAGGGGATAAATTGAAGAGTTTTATAATGACGAGGAAGATGGGGCTTATAATTGATATAATATCTCTGTCTCAAAAAATAATCTACACTGAATATTATTTTTAGTATAAATATTTCTAATTTGATTTGTATTATTTTTTAAGACAAAAAATATCTTTAATCATATATGGAGGTAGCTAAATAGCTGGTACCAAAGTCCCTGTAGCTTGTAGGGGCGGAATAAGAGACAGCTGATTAAATAGCTAGTACTTCTAAGTTCAAATATGTAGCTACTGTGGAAGCCGAGTAGGGCGGGACAGGCTTAAATGGTTTTTAGTGTTGGAAATTCTTTGGACTTTAAGAAAGTGATGATAATGAAAAATATGGTATTTCGCATTTATAAAAATAACTGTTCAATTTAAATATATTTATTTTTAACACAGTTTCCGCAAAAAAAAAAAAATCTAAATGAATAATTATCTTGTGACTGAAAAAACTTTTTTTTTCTTTTTTGCATATTTGCAGGTGTCCACTATCGACAACAATGACTAATCCTCCTTGCTTAATTATAGGCACCTCGATTGATGGGACAGCTAGTCAAAATACTTAAAGTTGCTCTATATCCATGGCGAAAATCGAACCCTCGACCTATGATTAAGGGTACACCACAAAACTTCTATCTCGTTCATATTACAAAACTTTGTTTGTTGTCTGGATTGTTGATCTTTCTACCAATTGCAGGCTTCTTGGATAACTTACAGTGGCTCAAGGTCGCTAATAGAATTGGGATTTTTAAAAAATAAATGATAATAACCTGTAATTTCATTAATTTCGGCAAGTGTTCACATTGTATGAGGGAGTAGGTCTTGTTATGCATGTTTTGGACCTCCTCTACCTACTGTAATAGAATTGGAGTTCAGTCCACTGCAAATCATACTTTTGATGAAAATCTCCAACAATTGAATCATTGTGTCTAGAGGATGCTTTGACCCTGTAGCCCAACCCAACTTACTTCTGGATTTAGTTCCTTTTAGGAGGTCTAGAGATATCCTTAGGCCTTCAACATTTCTGACAGGGTGAGAAATCACATGCTCATTCATCTTACAATGTCAAATTCTCTTAATCACAAAACTGGTAAATTCGAAACCAATTCTAGTTTCTAATAAAGCTGGCTCGAATTATGTGATCTTCGAATTCACATCAAATACAAGTGATAATCATGGCATAATTAAAAAGGAAATATGATGTATAACTTCAAAAAATTTATATTATTGTTTGGATTAAGCGATATATTAACCAACCATTAAAACCACGAATCTGTTGAAATTTTTCTAAGTTGGTTCGAATTTGTCTTTTCCATTTGTTTGTTATAAACTTCAGAGAAGATTCAATTGACATTCCTCAGTTTAGGAAGGCCAACCGTTTCCTGTGGACTCTGGAGTATTCAAGATTAAATTATTTTGGTTTGTAATGCGTTTTATCAAGTGAAGTGTGCTATAAGATACGTTTTAGTAGTTTTGTTTTTAGTAAGAACAACATGTTAATTTTGACATAGAATTTTGCAACAATTTGTAATGTTTTATTAACTGTAATCTTTGTTGTCAATCATGGCCGCACGATTTGGAATGAAAGTAATGGAAGAGTCGTTATTTAAAATTAAAAGAAATAGACATGATTCAAATCAATCATTTTATGATCCTATTACTATAATGATGATCATGACGCTGAAAGACTCTAATTAACACCGTATTTTATTTTTATTGCCAAACTTGCAAAAACCCATTTTATTGGTCTCCAAAATCACAGAGTCGAACCCTAAATCGTTTAGTTTTGGATGTTTTGTTCTCTTCACTTTGCTCTCTAACTGCTTATGTTTGATGTTTCTGCGCGTCTTTGAAACTGAACTGAATCAAGTTTTCAAGTTGGAATCATGATAATCTCAAGCTCGAATTATGTGAACTTCGAATTCGCATCAAATGTGAACGATGATCTTGGCATAATTAAAAAAATTGAAGTATGATGGATAACTTTATAAATATATCATACTCCCTCCAATCTTATTTATAAGATAGAAATAACCATATAATTAAAACTAAGAAAAATCAGTTACTCCCTCCGTCTCAAAATTATTGTCCAGTTTAGATTTACATTTTTAGTACAATCCAAAATTATTGTCCAGTTTGGATTTTCATTTTTAGTACAAAAATGAAAATCCAAACTGGACAATAATTTTGGGACGGAAGGAGTATTTATTTATATTATATGTATTTCCTCGATTAAAATCTATACACGAAAAAATAATTCATTTTGAAAGTTTCCTTAGCATTAATATTATGAAATTATAGAATTTACAAATTTGAGAAAATGCAATAAATTAAACCTTACAAATATGAAATGTGTTATAAATAAGACTAAGTATAAATCTTAATATTTATGCTTTGTGAATAGGACCGGATGGAATACATAACTAGTTTATTTAGTAGGCTTGGGACACTTTGAAGGGTAAATGTAGGGCTTGTTTGATAATTAATACCACGTGTTGCTTAAAATTATCTTATTAAATATTTTTTGATTTCGGCATTTTTTTTATAATGACAACTGAATCTCTTATTGAATTAAGTGGTGCTCAAATTGCAGTATAAAATATAAACAATAAAAATTAATCAATCTAGCATTTCTAATTTAGTATTAAACATTTAGAATTAAGTATGAATTTTATCAAACAGGCTCTTAGGCCAATTTTTGGGGATTAATTAAATTCACTGGACTTGAAGGATTCGATTGCTAATTTAACAAAATCACGAGGAACATTGTTGCAATTTACTCCCAAGTAGCGCCAACAGTAGTAACTAACCGGAATAGGCGGACAGAACGCAAAATGGTTGATTATGGTCCTTCTGGAAATTGGAAGGAAAAATGTCGGAAAATCAGATCACCCTTCTTCCTCCTCCTTCCCTCCTCCCTACCTCTGATGCTCGCCACCACCTCCTCCTCCGTCATCCCAGCCATTTCCGCCCCTCATCGTTTCTCCCAAACTGGGTCCCACCTGTCCCGCCAAATTAATACCGGAATCATCAAGAACGGGACTTTTCTGATTCCTTCCCTCGTATGCTGACTCTATGGCAGATAGGTGAGTTTTTGTTCAAATTTTTTTTTTCCCTTTTCAATTTCTATGGCTATTGATTTATGGATGTGTACGCAAATGTGCTCTTTTTGTCTTTGCTTGTGATGATGATTTTCATGATGGGTTCATTACATAACACTCAATGCACGCTTACCTTTTTCTTCCCTTTTTGGAAAAACCTTTTTTTTTTTTGTTGTGTGTTTGTTATAAAGTCAATGCAATCAAAAGGTGCCCTTTGATTGCGCTGTTAATCTGGTTATTTAAATTTTAGCCTTTTTGGGGTTCCAAAAAGATTCAATGTTGAGAACTCTGAAAGAGGGGGAAAAAACAGGGTTTGGAAGTGAAAGGAAGGGGAGATATTTGGAATGATGGAAGGGTTGAATTTGTTGGAGCTCAGCATGGGTGTGGTGCTATAATTACATCAACTTTTAAATATTTTGAGTGGCCTTGTCTGTTCTGTTATAAAGGTTTGAAGAATTTACTCCGTTAGTGTTTGTCTGTGATGAAATTAAGGCGTAAACACTACATGCCTTCTTGTGCTTTTCACCTTAGAGTAATCTCTTAACTTCCAATCAATTCATTTTTCAGCTTTTGATTTCATGGAGAACGAGATCGAAACTGTTTTCATCTTGATCGTTATATGTTTAGCATTATTGGACTCGAAATGAAGTTTCTTTCTTCATGATTTCAACACTAAGACTGAGTTTCAATGAGTGATCATTTGTGTGTAATCTGAAATCAAATTTTGTACTATCATATATCTAGATCATTACGGGAACACATGGGCATAATTAAAAGAACATATGACCTATACAACTAGGGAGTAAAATTCTTACAAAACCTTCAATATTTTGATTTGATGGCCTGACATCTTGTTTCTCTAAACGATATTTCATTTCATTCTATACTTGCACAATACTTGTTTTTTTCTGTCGTGTAAAATGTGCTTTTCAATTACCATTTTCGATGTTGATGAACTAACTTTTTGTTACAACAACCAATGGTGGCATCTTTTTTTCCTCTTCTTTGGCACTAGCCTCGCATGACACAAGCCTTCCACTTTATACTGAAGCAGGCTTCTGAATTCAGGTCGATGGAGATGAAATTTATTGGAAGGCAAAGAAGCAAGATGAAGAATCAGAATTTTCAGAAAATTCTCCTCACATAATATCACAATTAGCTCAGTGCTTTTGTGAGTGAAAATAGTAGTCAATTTAAAGTATTAGTTTTTTTGATAAGATGTCTTCCCTCTTCTTATGCTTACTTCTCGCTTCATTTACTTGTAAATCCTCCCCATTTTTGTACTAGAGAATAGATTTCGTGAACCATTTTGTTATACTCTGCTTCCGTGTACCTTTGTTTGAAATTAGTGAAACATATAACTGAGTTGCTGCTAATGTGGTTTGTTCTTGATAATGTTGATTGCTTAAGTGTATAAAGATTTCAGCATTTTTTGGCGTAAAATATCTCGAACATCTTTATCTGATTGGTTGAGTGGCAATTGCAGAGTTCATATTACTATCTCTGTACTTATGAAACGTTTTCCTTGATAGCTAATGCTATGGTTGGTCCAAGAGCGTGGATAGGAGGAATATTTACCAGATCAGGCAATAAGCGTTTTGGCAGTAATAAGTTTCTTGACTACCCTTTCACTCCTGAACAGGTGAGTTGTTCATGCTCAGTCTGGAAATTACTATTTTCATGGAAAATCTTACTTTCCAAGTTCCTTTATTTCTGTGTCCATCTCACTTTTGCTTGCTTCATTTGGCTCTATTATGTCTTAAGATGCACTGTTCAGTCTTGAAGATGCAGATGATCTAACATTTCTGCATCTTTCGTTTTCTCACAGGAAGAGAATCTTCAGATGCTTCAAGAACGAATAGGAGTACCTTTTGAGGAAACTTGCTTTGGTCATCAAGTATTGCTCAGATTCATTCATCTCTTAAGTAGCATTGTACCAGTACTTTTGTCATCATGTTTCACTTTCATCATTTCTATCACATGGTACTTCAATATATCTGCAGTTAGTAATTCATAAACATGATTCTAATGCAGAGATGATAAATTATTGAATAAATGCTCTGCTACTGTTTGACTCATTCCAAGTTATTGCATAATTTTCTGCTGTGGGTTTCTCCTCTCCCACCAAATGAACAAAGATTTGTCTGGAGATGATCTCTCCTCCAATGCTTCAATCTTCTTTCTGCCTAGTAATTCATTTTAACATTTAATTTTGAAGACAATCTGCTCCGCATCAGCACTAGCTTTTGTTGCAAACTGTAATAGTGAACTTTCCCTCCCTTTATCAGCTAGCTCTTCACACGTTGTGGGATCTGTCCTTTCCAAATGTTAAGCTCAAAGGCTTAATATCTGATCAGTGGAAGGATATGGGATGGCAAGGATCTAACCCAGCAACGGACTTCAGGTGAATTTCTGATGTTCCAAGGCTAGTTGTTCTCTTTATGAGTTCAAAGTACAAGATACACTTATACTGGTAGTTTGGAAGGGGAAAGGTGATGGAGAGGTGCTTAGGGGTAGGGATTCTGAACTTCAATGTTCTAAGGCTCAAATCTGGTGCCTGGAATCTATAACAGTAAAACTATAAATGGGATTTCAGAATTCATGAAGCGGAAATGGCATGATTCATTCAGTTTCTCTTTGTTTTTCCTTGAAAAGGGAACTAAAATGCATTCTTCTTGGAATACTTCCCCTTTGGAATCTGTCTGTTTGTAACATGATATTGTTGTTTCTCTTCTTGAACATAATGCCCGTCTACTTTATCCATTCAACAAAATGCTCGAAAAAATAATTCCTTCTTTGTTGTGTGTGTGGGTAGTATGCATTTCTTGTGGGGATGCGTAGCTTATATTGGTATTCTTTTGCCAAGATAATGGCATCTTACCAACAAAAGGATTTCTCCGTGTCTCAAAGAAAGCTCAATTTAGATGAAATGTATCTAGACTACAAGAATCTAAAACTTTTTATGGTCCTTATTCCTTTCAATTTTAGCTTTCCTTGTGCACTTAACTATTGCACATCTGTTGAAGAGTGATATCTTTTGTTTGTTTTTTTGTTTTTAAATGAAGCTAGATGCTTTTACAAGTAAGTGTTACCTGACTGGAATTTATTATTGGTTTAGGGGTTGTGGCTTCATTTCACTTGAGAATTTGATATTTTTTGGAAGAAATTATCCGGTATGACTTCTTCCTGCTGCTACAAAGAGCAGTAATTCCTCGGCAGGAATATGCTCTTCTTTATAGTTACTGAAATACTAATGACTTTTTACTAATAGCATATAATTCAAAATGAAGGCTTCTTTTCATAGGTTACTTTTCAAGCAAACTGGAGAACGGGCAGAATGGGAATATCCATTTGCTGTGGCTGGAGTTAATGTATCATTTATGCTAATTCAAATGTTGGATTTGCAGTCTGGTAGGTAAAAGATACCCATTTCATTACACATTCATCCTACAGCTTCATATTCACTGACAATGTCAATGAGAGGAATAATCGCCTTTCTGAATCATATGTCCATCTTGAATTGTGTTCTCTGTTTACCTATTTCTTATCGAAATATCATCCTTCAACAATTTCCAGTTCAGATAGTTATCTTGATTTCTTCTTGAAAGGAACTTCTGCTAAGTAAAATTCAGAAGTTCTCAGCTCATCTTTTCTATTGACTAGAAAGTGTTGATACGTCATTTTAGTAAATGCTTATACTCATGGATTCATCCATGTAAGTGGCCGTTAATTTGTGCCTTATCATCATTTCTTCTACTATATGTCAGTTCTACATGTTATTGATGATTGTCTTATTATCAGTTCTTCTATTACGTGTCACTTCTGTAATGTTATTGACGATTGTCCTGCAATTTATGTGATCTTTTATTGTGAATGAATACTTAGGTCCATACGATGCCTCATTACTAGTTTATACCAATTACAATTAGTTGCAGTGAATTGTGGTTTTATTGGTCAGAGCTGTCTCTTATTCTGTATTGTTACAAATAATAGAGTTCCTGCTGGTTGATTTGTAAAATTTTTTTACCAATATATCCAATAGGAAAACAGAAGTTAATAGTCAGAATCTAACCAAGGCTTTTTCTGTTACAGCGAAACCAAAGAGCCTTCCAGGAATCAATTTCGTCAAATTGTTGGGAGGTATGATGCCAATGGTTTAAATTGCGATAACATGAAATTTACTGAATTTGGATGGTTTTTAATTTTCATGGAAAGTTTCTGAAATTGATTTTTGACATTGCAGAAAATGAAGACGCATTCGATTTGTTATATTGTATAGCTTTTGCAATGATGGATGCCCAATGGCTGGCAATGCATGCGTCATACATGGACTTCAATGTATATTTCTCTCTCTCAGTTTCTTGCTTTGGATAATATTTGCCAATATCTTTGACGTATCTCCAAGTGTTAAGGTTTTGAATGAACCAGTGTTCACTATTACAGGATTTAACCTAAATCTAATTTATTCTTAGCTTAAGCTAATTTGTGACAGTGAATTGAAATTTTCAGGAAGTTCTGACTTTGTATCTTCGTTTTTTTTTTTTTTTTTCTTTAGGAAGTCTTGCGCGTAACCAGGGTACAATTGGAAAGAGAGTTGTCATTAGAAGATGTTCACAAGATACAAGATCTCCCAGCCTACAATTTATTGTACAACTAAATTCTTCTCCTTCCAACCCTCCCTTCATTAGAAGCTGAACTTGTGCGCTTCATAGTGTACCATCAGCTCGGCATATGTACATAGGCCTTAGGAGCTAATGAAGCATTCAGAGCGACAGCAATATTATGGTTCGTTCATGGAGAAGATGGATGGTCTTGGACTTCCATTTTGATATGCAATATGTAGTTAGACAGAATGTAAGGGGTTGCAACTTATAAGGTCAAAATTCCGCTCAGAGGGCTAGCTTAATTCTTGTTCTTAAATGGGATTATTTCGGGAATCTATGCTGCTTCTAAGATCTGGGCATTGAATGCCAGTGGTACAGTGTCTTTTTTCCCCTTCTGTGTGGTTTTTGCGCTTTTTGTGGTGAGAAGATGGGAGATTTTTGATTCCCAAAGATGGTCAGTATTCTTGATAACATGCTATTTGGTGTAAGGATACTCTTAGTCCAACAGAAAAATGATAAAGGGTTTTTACCACGAAGACAAAAAAAATCATAATCAACTCCATTTTCGTATTATCTCATTTCCTCGTACAAAATCTACAATGATATCATTATTACTATTCCTTTTGAACTGAGGAAAGCAACAGGAGGCAAAATGACCAAAAGAGAGTTTGCAAAGAGAATATGTATTTTTACCAGAAAAGAGATACGACAATGTATATATAATGTGGATCTAAACGTACAATAATTTTCTGAAGAATTAACGCAACAATATTTCGATATGGAGAATTTCTTTCTTGCCATCAATTTTTTCAGTCTTCAAGTTTAAGTCTTGTACCCTGGTAATCACCGACGGTGTCCGCGGTCCAAATGGACACGGAGATGGCTGACATACTTCCGACTAATCACGACAAGGACAACCCAGCTACAAGGAAAGTAAAGAACAAGGAAAATCAGGACCACACTCCATCTTCTGTTACTGAACCCCAAACGAACAACTGTCAGTCAGCCGACAGAATTCCCTCCTTCAAAGACCGATTACTTCATGGGCAACACAACCAATTTGTCAATAATTTCCACATGGGAACAGTCATTGTAGAAGAAGACGATGTAATCTATAGTATGGAGGATGGACTTCACTCAACACGGTTCTCTGATAGAGTCCAATCGCAAATGACAGCTGCCATGACCTATACTGTGGCGGTCAAACCTTTGGGAATGGATATACGTCACGATCGACTATATAAAAGATTGAAGGGCCTCTGGAAGGCTAAAGGAGATGTCAAGCCAGTTGATACAATCGAGGGATATCATCTTCTGCGCCTCACCAATGAAGAGGATTATTATTCTGCTATCTTGAATGGGCCTTGGTCTCTGGATGAACATTACATCCTGGTCCTTCCTTGGAATGACGGTTTCGATCCCAACAAGGAAAACATAAGTGCGGTACCAACGTGGATCCGAATCCCAGGTCTTCCGGTCAAGTACTTCCACGAAAGTTTATTAAGGAAAATAGTCAAACCACTTGGAAGGTATTTGAAAGCTGATCGAAACACAATTTCGGTTGAACGAGGGAAGTATGCCAGATTGGCTGTGGAGCTTGATTTGACTCAACCCTTAATTGGAAAAACTAAGATTGACGGGAAGGAATACAATGTGGAATATGAAGATCTTCCACTAATTTGCTACTCGTGCGGAAGGTATGGCCATCTAAAAAAGGACTGTCAGGAAATTCCGGCAAGCTCACCGCCGACGAATAATATCCCAACAAATAGTTCAGATGTGGGTCCATCTGCAGGAGCCAATAACGGTAACATTGAAGAAAAGGAAAAAATTCCAACGGACAAACCAGTGCCAGTAGGAACGTCACCAACCCCCATGGAACAACAACGGTCATCCACCTTGGGCGAATGGAACCACGCGCCTAGAAGAAGCAGACGGAATCAGTCAAATCCATGGATGAACAGGAACAAGGCTACCTCAACAAACATATTCCAGGGAGCATTGTCTAATCCGTTCTCTGCACTTGCGGGCAATGATACGGAGCAGATGACTGAAGCATCAACGTCTAGGTCAAAGCCATTCCCAGCCGACCGGCCGCCGCTCAAGACTTCCTTCGACTGGAACACCAAAACCTGCATTTTTAGGGCCGGCCAACAGCAGCAAACATCCTCACAACCGTTGTCTAAAAACACAAACCCACCAGCCAAGGCCCAAACCCCGACTGCCATACCAAATAAAAGGAAACCCGAAGCCCTTGGGAGAGACAGATCCTGGATTAAAAAATCCACCAAGACCACAACAAGCCCAACAACTCCGGCCCACTTGGAAGAACCTAATAGGATCACAACCTTGTCAGCCCAAACTCTTCCTAGCGTTAGTAACCCCAATCCTGAACCAACTACAAGCCCCCAAAAGAACCCCAACACATCAAAACACACTGTAATAGTTCTCCCCCACCCCAACCCACCTCCATCAGCTCATGACAAGGCCCAAAATCGAAGTATTCCCCAACCAGATCCACCATTAGAACCCGTAACCTCAGGAAAACCGCCTGACCCAGAACATGCTTTCTACCTAAAGCCTAAGCTTAAAATCCAACCCCCTAAATCCACACAACCCTTCTCTGATTCCCCGACTGCAATGGAGTGGATTGACGATGCTGAAGTACAACTCAGCTTGGAACTACGAGATGCAACTCCAGTAACTTCAGAAGTCGTTAACGACGAGGAGCTCCTACCGGAAGCCGGTAGGTAAGCCCTCACATCTCTACTTTTTAATTATTATGAGTCACAAAATTATGGCATGGAACACGCAGGGACTAGCAAATGAGAAAACAGTCTCTGTTTTGAAAGATTTAATCAAACTTTACAACATTCACCTAATTATACTCCTGGAACCCAAAACAAAAGGAAATGATGCTGATCAAATAATTAAAACAACGGGATTCGAAAATTCACATAGAGTTGAAGCTGTAGGGTTTGCAGGAGGTATCTGGATCCTATGGCGCGACCCTATCAAAGTAATAATCCTGGAAAACAATTGGCAATGTATACACTGTAAAGTATTTTTCCAAAATAACTCCTATTGCTACGTCACGGCGGTGTATGGTAGCCCTCAAAGGCTAACCAGAAACACACTATGGGACAACCTTCTTCGTCTTGCAGATTCAGTCTCAGACCCCTGGATTGTTCTTGGAGATTTCAACGCCATCACACACGAAGCCGACAAGGTAGGAGGGAGGAGAGGCAAAGGCTGCAAAAAATTTGTGTCATGGATCAACGATGCTGAGATGATAGACCTAGGCTTCTTAGGACAGAGATTTACTTGGAAACGAGGAAAATGTCACGTGAGACTGGACAGGGCACTTGTGAATCAGAAATGGAAGAATTTCTTCACCAACACAACACTCCAACACCTCCCGAGAATAGCCTCGATCACTCCCTATCTTAGCTCATTTCTTCACAACTTCGGCGCCAAATAGGGGTTCATATTTCTTCGATACTGTCGGCATGGGAAGAACACGATGCGTGGAGAAGCTGGATTGACAAGGTTTGGCCGTCGGGGAAAACCTACCGAAGCTCTTGACATCCTCACGTAAAATATTGAGGACTGGAAATTCAATTTTTTTGGTGATATCTACAAAAGAAAAAGAAAGTTACTGGCCAGAATTGGAGGGATTCAAAAGGCTCTTGCCTTGAAACATTCCAGTTTTCTAGAAGCCTTGGAAACTGAACTGAGAACGGAGTATGAAACTACGGTAACACAGGAAGAACGACTTCGGACACAAAACACAAAGTCACTGTGGATTGCCCAGGGGGACAAAAACACGAAATCCTTTCATGCACTTCATAGACAGAAAAATAGAAAAGGGAAAATTCAAGACATGCAACTTGATGACGGCAATTGGTGTTCCGATCCAGAGATTTTGGGCAACGAAGCTACCAAATTTTTCAAAAATATTTACCGCGAAGCTAGTAATAGGGGAAGCACTTACCATGTCAGGGGCTTCTTTCCACCAATCCCCGCAACGCAGGAGAGAACCCTATTGAGATCACTCCAAGATGAGGAAATCAGAGCCGCCGTTTTTGAAATGAACCCATCCAAGGCATGTGGAATTGATGGGTTTGGACCTGGATTTTATCAGAAAAATTGGATTACAGTGGGCAAAAACGTATGTCGGATGGTCAAGAATGTCTTCCAAACAGGCGAAATGATACCAAGCATAAACAAGGCAATGATAATACTTCTACCAAAGATCAATCCGCCTGAGAGATTTCAAAACCTACGACCCATCAGCCTCATAAACGTTTCAGCCAAAATAATTTCAAAAGTTGTAGCAAACAGACTTAAGAAAGTCATGCCTACGCTTATAGCCAATACGCAATCCAGTTTCATCCCTGACAGAAGCATAATTGGCAACATAGTTACGGTCCAGGAAGCAATTCACACGATGCAAACAAAAACAGGTAAAACCGGCTGGATGGCCGTTAAGATAGACTTGGCAAAGGCGTTTGATTGCATCTCATGGGATTTTATTCAAGATACTCTACATGATGCAAAAATACCACAAACACTTTCAAACATAATTCTGAGTTCACTAAGAACAAGCACTACGCAAGTATTATGGAATGGTCACCTAGGTGAACAATTTAACCCCACCAGAGGAGTCCGGCAGGGGGATCCTTTTTCCCCATACATCTTTGTTCTATGTATGGAGCGGCTATCCCACGCTATAAATACGGAAGTTCAGAACAATAAATGGAAACCTATATCATTTGGCAACAACCAGGTAAGACTCTCACATTTGTTTTTTGTTGACGACTTAATTCTTTTTGCAGAAGCAACAGTTGACCAAGTACAAATTATTCGAACAACACTAGAACAATTTTGTCAATCATCGGGGCAAACAATCAGTGCGGAAAAATCTATACTTTATGTATCACCTAACGTTGACACCATCACAGCAATGTATCTAAGCTCCAGGATGGGAATTAAGCTGGTCGACAACTTAGGGAAGTACTTAGGGGCCCCTATCATACATGGTAGGGTCAAAAGGAAACCTTCACCTCACTAATCTGCAAAGTCAAGAAACGTATCTCTATGGAACCCAAAGAGGATCGGTATGGTGGGAGGCTCACCCTATGCCAATCAATTTTGGCAGCAGTACCACTCTACTTAATGCGATCGCAGCTTTACCGAAAGGCACATGCGACGAAATTGATAAATTAAGAAGGAGCTTTCTGGGAAATTCGACAGAGAGAAAAGGATGAACATGGTTAGTGGGAAAAGTCCACAACCCAAGAAATATGGCGGATGGGTTTACTAAACCGAGAGACGTGAATACAACTTTTATCCTAAAATTGGCTTGGGAGCTACGACAAATGTTGACAACCTATGGATTTCTATTTTCAAAGCCAAATACTTCTCACAACAGAATAGACCAATCCAGCTATCACATCTAGGAAAACAAATCTCATTAATGTGGCACATTGCAAACAAGGGTGTCAAGTGGCTAGTGGGAGATGGGGAAACAATCTCATTCTAGTCTGATCTATGGC